CTGATTTGCAGAAATCACTGTCTGAGGAGAAAGGGTGGGGAGATATGGATGGAAAGAAAGAGGTGGAATCAGGTGAAGTGTACTTATTTTACTTGACTTCTATTAAATCCTTAATGAAGGAGTTGGCCGCATGGACTGTCTTCCTTAACGCCCATTGTAATGCAAGCAATTACTTGTATGAACAGTCAGCCGGAAAAGGGAGTAAATAACATCGGAAAGAGGGAAGTTGCTAGAAAACTTACACATCTCAATTCATGAGCCTGCTGTGGTCACCATATAATAAATTCTGTACCAGAACTGAACAGGGATCGCAGTGTTTTTCTGGCCTTTCTCACTGACATGAAATTTTAATGAAGGGGGCTTTTTAGAGCACAGGATTTGTGCCAACTGAGAACAGAGCACCAGACAAGAGCTACAGAGGTAAGACTGCTACTCCCAGCTCCGCTGCCTTCTTGGACAAGTAATTTGACCTACCCGGGCAAAAGGAAGACCTTATGAAACAAAACAAGAGCAGATTTTAAAACTTATATTGTTTCATGTCAGGAGTCTACAGCACGCGGCTGACATCTTTTGCCAAAGGCTTGGCTACAGCCTGCTCAGGTACACTCGCTAAGTCAGGTTATTGTTATCACCAAATAGTGTCTGTAAGGTGGAGGTAAGAACTCCTGAATCTGAAGCCTCTTCTTCAAGCTCTTGCTGCAAAGGAAATGAATAGTATGACATTATTTCCTAAGCAGTACATCATTTCACAGTTGGAAGGGTCATGATGTTCTCGAAACACTCTCTTTCATAATCTATTGAGTTGAAAGGATGTGGAGAAGAGAACACTAGAGAGATAAGTAAGGCAAGTTTGCGCATATGAATGTGTGTGTGTGTGTGCGTGCACGCACGAGTGCGCGTGCGAGTGCAAGAGAAAGAGAGAAAGAGAGAGAGATTCAGAAAGAGGGCCTCCCCGGTGGTGCAGCGGTTGAGCACTGGGTTGCGAAGCTGCCCGCAGCCTCTGCAGTGCCGGTTCGATCCCCGGCTGCTTCCTGGCCACTGGAGGAGGGTCCCACATGGCGCACAGACCTCTCCTGCCGCCCGCTGCTCCCCTCAGCAGTGTACTTCGGTCCTTCTGCCTGCTCTGCTCCCCGCTCTGGCTCTGGTGAATTCTCTCACCCTCCCGCGCTTCTGACCGTACCCAGTGCATGTATAAACAAAACAAAACAAAAACAAACAAATAAATAAATAAAAACATGCCTCTATAAAAAAAAAAACAACAAAAAACAGAAAGAGACAGACATATAGTCAAGGAGAAAGTGGTAGAAGAGGAAGTTGGAACTTGGTTACAGTCAGCAGGTCAGTCCAGTGGAAGGAAAGCAGATCGGCTTCCACTTTCCCTGATGTGACACAGATGGAAAAAACCAGGCAAATATTCGGTTGGGGAGGCCATCCTGCTGGCCTCAGCATTTAGGTCATATGGTTTCCAAAAACTGGAACCTAGGGGCCTCCCTGGTGGCGCAAGGGGTTAAGACGCAGCACTATGAAGCAATCCATAGCCACTGCAGCACGAGTTAGATCCCTGGCCAACGAGCAGACCCACATGGTGCAGCAGACCTCTCCTGTCTTGCCCGCTGCTCCCCTCAGCAGTGTATTTCAGTATACCTGCCTGTTCTGTTCCCCACTCTGTCTCTGGTGAATCCTCCCCACCTCACCACACCTCTGGTCAGTTCTTGTATGCATAAATAAATAAATCCTTAAAAACAAAACAAAACAAAACAAAAATCTCACTATTTAAAAAAATAAAAATAAAAATAATATATGAAGAATAACCATGGCTTCCCTTAGTCTGTGAGCCTGTGAGAGCCTCTGTAGGTCTGTGGCACACTGCCAAGGAAAGAAGGCAACACCACAGCTACTACTACCACCAACCATGGAGATGTTTGCAGGAAGCACAAAGAGTGTTTACTACATGTCCTCATTTTCCAAGGACCTCAGTTGATTCTTACAATATTCCTACATGATAGGTACTTTTATTATCAACCGCATTTTACAGGTGAAGAAACTGAGATCCAGAAGTCATACGATTAGTAAGTAGAGGCAGGAATCAAATTGAGGCTGTTCAATGCCAGGGCCCTGGCTCTGAACTTCTACCCACAATGCCCCTCTTTAAATGATGCACTCAAGACCTAGTGGTGCTTCAACTTTGCCCTCTTCTGAGAAGTAACTTTTTTTTTAAGATTTATCTATTTTTATGCATACAAGATCTGGGGTACAGGCCAGAGGTGTGGGGAGGTGAGAGGATCCACCAGAGACAGAGCGGGGAACAGAACAGGCAGACTGACCGAAATACACTGCTGAGGGGAGCAGCGGGTGAGACAGGAGAGGTCTGCTGCGCCATTTGGGCAGCTCCCTGGCCAGGGATTGAACTCATGCTGCAGTGGCTGTGGACAGCTTCACAGGCTGCGTCTCAACCCCTTGCGCCATCAGGGAGGCCCAAATAAATCTTTATTTTTTTAAAAAAAAGAAGTTACTGAGCCTCCCTGGTGGCGCAAGGGGTTAAGATGCAACCTATTTAGCAATCCGCAGCCACTGCAGCACAGAGTTCGATCCCTGGCCAGGGAGCAGCCCACATGGTGAAGGCGACCTCTCCTGACTCTCCCGCTGCTACCTTCAGCAGTGTATGTCAGACAGTCTGCCTGTTCTGCTCCCTTCTCTGTCTCTGGCGAATCCTCTCACCAACCCCCAACGCCCCAATCCCGCCCATCGCCACCCCACCTCTGAAAAAAAGAGCCAGGGACCAGCTCCTTCAAACCTGGGTCAAGGTAATGGGGGACAGTGCATGCAAATGAGAGTTGTTCTCAGAGTGTGGGGGGATGAGAGGGACTTGAAGCAATCATGAGTACGGAATCTCATACCAAATAAAGCTTTGAGAATTTTTAGCCTACTTATTCTGAGGAAGGAAAAAAACCCTTCCATTGACCTGCCACTTCCTATACTGCTCTTTCTCATGGAGGTGGACTTCCAGCCAGGGAAGCAGCATTTGTTTTTGTCCAGAAAAGGTTGGGATGGGAGGTTATAAAGTTGCTCATATCTCACTGTGTTCCAGTTTTTACTTGGCATGTCTGCAAGATGTAAAGGGCAACATTTTATTATTTCAAATATTTTATTATAGTCAAAAGAAATGAGTATTTATTCTTATGTAATCCCAGAATTGTAAGGTTGGGGTCATTTTAGGGATCCTCTCTACCACAATTTATGATTCATGTAGCCTTGGGGAATTTTAAGAGAAATACAATGCCTAGGTTGCAGTCCACACGAAGAGAATCAGAAAAAATATATAACGTTGCATGCAATTTGGGGGGATTCACAGACAGTGGTCTTACCCGAAGTCCATTCGCTGACCCCAGACTAAAATCTCCTGGATTAGATAATTTTGAGGCGCTATTTTAGTGTTTCTCAAAGTGTGGTTCATGAATGACAGGAATCAGAGTCAGTTGGGGTGCTTGTTAAAAAAACAGATTCCTAGGACTGTCAGGTCCCTACTGTGTTAGAATCTCTAGGGAATGAACATGCAGGAATGCGTATTTTTAAAAATTTCCCAGATGTTTTTGTAAATTGACAGTGAGAATTAGTGCTTTATCACAACTTGAGACTTTATTAGTTTTGAAAAGCTTTCATCTGTTGAATATTTTAGGTTTTGTCTGTTCACCTGTCGAGTATACAAAATATTATGTTCAGTATGAATTTACTAAATCAAATCTACATGTGTGGATGCATAGGAAAAAACGACTGGAAGTGTTATAGGACAGGGAGAGGGGCAGCCCAATCCCTGCAAACCTGCCTATTCTAAATGGGTTCTGCCATCTGCCACATCAACACAAAACATATGAAACTTTAATGGGAAGGAACTTTAATAAAACTAGGAAACAATACAGGAAAGGCAAAGAATCTAGTTTCTAAATCAAGCACCCAGAGTTACCCATCCCCTCGTGGGTAAAAGTCCATCCAAATGGGATTGGCCCAGAGCAAGGCCCCAAAGCCTGCCACAAGTCTAAAGCATCTTCCAGTGTGGACCCACAGAAAAGGGTCAGAAACAACCAGACAAGCCCGGAAGGAAAAGAGCAAAATCAACATCCAGATAAAAGTTGCCATGGTCACCTCCCCACGGGTCTCACCCACATCTGTGTCACCCAGTCCACGACCCAAAGACAAGCGCAGTTTCTTCACGTGTCTCTAGGCTCCATGCGCCTCCTCCAGGTCTCCTGGCTCCATCCTGCTTCCTTCCTCAGTCTCTTCTGCAGCTTCTCCTCTTCCTGCTCAGCTCCACCCTCCCTTGGGTGGGGCAGGGAACCTCCCCTTTTCCTGGGGACCACCCTGTTACAGAAGGATACAGTGGTTAACCTTGTCTCTCTGGGTAGGGGGAATACGGATGATCTTTGCCCCCCCCCACTTTATCCTGCTATTTTATTTCTCTTTTCTCATTGTCTTTCTGTATTTAAAGAAGACGGTTTCTTTTCGAGCTCAATTTCTCCCATCGGAAAAACAGGGTGTTTCAAAGTAGGTGAACTTCAAGGCCACGTCCGGCTCCAGCGGTTAGTGACTCCATACTCCCCTCTAGTTTCCTTATTCACTGAATAGCAAGTAACCACAGTATTTGAAGAGTCAAGTATCACTTTTGTATGTCATACGTTGAGATGCCTAGCAAGTGCTTTCACTTCCGCAAAATCATTTTGTTCCTCCAGCAGTCGGAACTGAAATAACGCTCTACTATCGAGGATCCCTCCAATTGATCCATCTCTTTAGCCCGAAAAAGGGCCGTCCACGCACATCTGTTTGGAAACGAGAAGCGACTGTGAACCAAAAAGCCAGGGCGTGGCCTCCCCACCCCGCGGCCCCTGCCTCCCCCCCCCCCCCCCCGCTCGGCTTCCTAGGGCGGGGATTGGTCGCGGGCGAGCCCGAGGCCCTCCCCTAGTCTTATGACCCGCGCCTGGGCGGCGAGCCCTGGCTGTGGCAGCGCCGTGGTCGGTGGTCCGCGGTGCTCCCGCTCCAGCTCCGCGAGCCTCGGCCGGGGTCTAGCCGTTCTCGCCGCCGCCGCCAGCCGCGCTGCTCTGCGGGAACATGGTGTGCTTCCGCCTCGCCCGGGTTCCGGGCTCGGTGCTCGTGCTGCTCGGCTTGGTCCTGGGTGAGTTCTCGGGCCCTCCTGCCGTGAATCCGCAGCCCGGGCCCCGGGCGCCCAGTTCAAAGGCCACAACCTGAAAGACAGGTCCGGGGGGGGGGGAGGAGGTGGCGAGGCCGAGCGGCTGACTCGGGGCGGCGGCGCCTGGCCTGGGGTGGGGGGGGAGAGCAGTGACCTAGGACTCGGAAGGCCTGCCCGACGGCTGCCGGGGAAGACCGGCTGTTGAGAGTAGGAAGGGGGCAAAGCGAGTGGGGGGGGGGAACCGGAGGGAGAAGGCAGGGGAGAGTGAGAAGTGGGGCAGATCGGGGTAGCAGGAAACTTGAGAAGATACTAAGGAGTGAGCGTAAGAGGGGTGCGTGCACATTCTGGGGTAACAGACACTTAGCCTACTCCTGGCTTACTGGGATCAGGAAGACTTTGGAAGATGGTGGAAAACTATGAGGGGGGGAGGAAATTGGGCCGATTAGAGACGGCCCATGTGGAAACGTTTGAGGGAGGCGGCGGGGTGGGGGTGGCAGGTGTGACCGTAGAGTCTGAAGGCCGTGGGGGCTTTGTGGTGGGGCTTTGTGGCTGCGGAGCAAGCGCGATTACAGAGCTGAGAAGCTACGCTGGGTTGGACTTGGGCAGTTACAGTTTTAGGGGGTGAAGGGACGGGACATGGCCGCGGCAGCTTGCAGTTGAGAAAACTTGGACCCAGCCTCTGCAGTCAAAAGGGAGAAGTGGGAACGTGCGTGTGGGTCGTGCATCTCGACGTGGAGTTATCGAGGGTGTCGGTTTTTTACCAATTTTATTACTTCCAGCCAGACCCTGACCAGAAAAGTCCCAGCTCTTTCAGTTGGGAGGGTCTCCCAGATGGGAGGTTTTGGGGCTTGGGTGTGAGTCTAGTAAACTACTTCCGTACTTTCAGAAACTCCTTTTCTTTTCTAACACAACTAGCCTCTGGACTGGCTTTACAGAGCAGGGCAGGTAATTCCCGAAGGTCCTGGTCCTATGGAAGAAAGGCTGCAGGAATGTTGACTGGTCTTGTTCTGAGCGTGTCCGCCCCCGCCCCCCAAGAGTGGTTCCCTGAGGATGTTCTTGCCAGAAAGGTGAACTTTAACCTGAATGTCTATTTCTGACCTGATTCATCTGTGCTTGTTGCTACCCACTGACTCTTGTTTGTTACCTACTAAAAAAACACAGGAGCAGACCCAGATGGGAATGGAGAAAATAAAGAAATTAGGGGTCTGAGAAGGCAATGAGAGGTATACATTTTGTAATTCACATTTCACTAGAAGAAAGAGTCTACATCGGTGGATTCTCAAACAGGGGACATTTGACAATATCTGGACACATTTTTGGTTGTCGCAAGTGGGGATTGTTTTCGCAGCTAGTGAGGAGATATCAGGGATGTTTCTGAATATCCTACAATGCAAAGGACAGCCCTCCCACTAAGTGGCCATAGTGCCAAACTTGGCAAGTCTTGCTTCCAAACCTGTGCATAGCATCAGAAGGTGCTTAATCTAATCCAGGGGTTCTGAAGGTTCTTTGCTGCAGTTCTGTGTTATCAAAACTATATTCAGAACGACACTGAAGAAGTTGTCTTTTTCACTCTCATCCTCCCAGCACTACTGTGGAGTTTTCCAGAGGCTACAGAATGTGTGATGATATCACCACTCCATTGGCTCTAATCTTTTATTCATTTCTCAGTTTTAATTCCTAATAGAGCAAATACTGATAGACACAAGGCACATTAAACCACAGCTCTTTTTGAGTTCTCAGTGGATAAGAAAGCAGCAAAGGGGTCCAGACACCAGAACATTCAAGAATCCCTGACCTAGTCCATCTGCACAGGAAACTTCCATTGCCCTTTTGAAGGGGGCAATGGGTGCTTTGCTTAGATACAGTATGAAGCCTTAACGCTACTGTGGAGCACTTAACAAGAGCCAAGCAACCCTGAGAATTGTTTACAAGGGAAAAGCACCTTATCAGTGACTAGAACCTACCATCTGACCAAGGCATCTGTTAATCAGTAGTTCACTGCCAATTGAGTCTGCACAACACTGTTATTGTTCAGAGAAAGTGCAAAAAAATAATAGTTGCCCTACTTGTTGGCTTTCATCTCATTACATTTTTTTGTTTTGTTTTTTAATGAAAGCTTTTTTGTTTTGTTTTTACAAAAGCAGTGCTTGCTCGCTGCAGAAAATAAACAGGCAAAAAGAAGCACATAAAAGAACCCATCAGCTCCTCTCCTAGTTTGCCATTTATTGATTGGTTCTAACTAGATTCGTCCTCTTAAAAGATATCCAGGATTGAGTCCCACCACATCCAAGTTCAGAACAGGATTTGGAGGAGTAAAAGTTAATCATGTACCTAGATCACATCTTTAAAAGGTACCAGGATAAAATGGAAACCATCTCTTCTCCACAGCTGCTTTTTCTCTACGGTATTGACTCAGTGTGGAGCTTCAGCTGCATGGGTTTTTGACTCCTAAGAATTTAGCAGGCCTTACTTGTTGTGTTCCAAACGTTTCTTTTATAGATCAAAATGGATACCAAAAATAGGTTTTTGAAAACTCAATAGATATTTGTTAAGTACCTGCGGTGAATTTCTTGTTCTGCCCAAGTACCGTGGAGTCTAGCGCAGAAGGACGTGTCCTAAATTGATAGTATCATTAGTATTTGTGTTCTAGCTGTACTGTACCATTCTGTACCATTTTCACTTTGTGACTTTAGAACTCTGTCCCTGCTCCACTGACTTTTTAAATTTTTTTTAGAGGAAAGGCTGAATTGTCTTTTTAGTCTCTTCAAAGAAAGTGATAATAAGAAATTATTGTCACATGAAGAGAAAAATCAAAGTATCCAAACCAAAGCTATGGGGAAAAGTATTGTAAAGGTTCGCCATAATAAAAAAATACTCTGTTATTTTTACGGATGCTGTTTATGATGTTTTTATAAAATAAATAGCTTGTTACGATTTTTTTTGCCATTCTAAGTATTCACTTTTATATTTAACTTTATTTTTAATGTCCAGTGTTGACAACAATTATTCTACTTAAAATTGAGGTAACATTGGTCTACAGTGTTATCTTAGAAGAATAAGCTCTTCCCCCTCAGGTGTTGTTACCACACTGCACCCACCACCGAGACACCCATATCCACCAACTTTGTTTTTATAAGATACATTTTTTTTAAGATTTATTTTACTTATTTATGCATATAATAACTGAGGTACAGGCCACAGGTGGGGAGGTGAGAGGATTCACCAGAGACAGTGGGGAGCAGAACAAGCAGATCTACTCAAATACACTGCTGAGGGGAGCAGGAGAGGTCTGCTGTGTGGAACTCGTGCTGCGGTGGCTGGTGATAGTTTCATAGTGCTAATACTTATCCCCTTGCACCACCAGGGAGACCCCAGCCCACAGGTATTTATTTATCCCATGCCTGTTAGGCATCAGCCACCATACTAGGTGAAGGGGCTAGATTGAGCCATGGATAAGACAGAAGAGAGGTCCCTTACATTTTCGTGGTAAAAGAGCGCCTAGTAAGTGAATAATGTAATTTCAGATAGTGATGAGCACTGCGAAGGAAATGAAGCAGGTAATGAGAAAGAAAAATATGCAATGATAGGAGTGGGTGGTGGACAGGATGTGCCTTTACATTATGTGGTCACAAGGTCTTCCATTGTGTGACATTGCAGCACAGACCTGAGTGTTATAAGGTGGACAGCCAGATGACAAGAGGGGGTAGGGTTAGGAGTAAGTCTTGTCTTTCCTAAATTCTTAGATCAGTAAGCTAGTCTTATTTTTCCCTTTCCTCCCCTTTCAGTACTAATTAAGTCTCCTATAATGTTAGTTTCTGAGAATGTAGACTATCCTATGCACTGCTATTTTCCATTGCCTGCCTTGCACGGGGCCTGGTACATGGTTAACCCTAGGTAAATTTTTGTTGAGGGTATCCATTGGTGGGCACTGGGGATATGATGAACTCTAGGCCAACTTGGTCTCTTTTTGTCTTCCGTGAACCTTAAATTATGTTTTGCAAGAAGTTTGCGTGTGTGTATATGTTTTTGGCTTGAGAACTTCAAGATCAGTGCTAAGCAGAACAGATGACTACCAGTCAGTTTACTATGTAATCCCATATAGTAATGCTAGTAGCTTACTTGTCCCCTTCAAGTAGACCTACATAATAGTGAAGGTTGACATGGAGAAGCTGGCAAGTTCTTGGTGAGAAGGAATATCAAGTTTTCACGAGTAACCAAGCTCTTCTTTTGGGAGGTGATCTAAAAGTCAGCACTGAAATTGTCTGTATGTAGCCTTATGACATTTTGTTTAAACTGACAACTTTGATTTCAGGGTTCTGCTAAGATTATTCTAGCTGTAATAGAGATAACTTGAAAGGACAGGTTTCTCACATCTACAGGACTATAGATCTTTTAGGAAACTATTTCCTTGGAGTACAGCTTTCTTCACCTATATCCCAGTGTGGAATTCCTGATGTGGGGCTATTTCACAGCACTCTAGCTGACTGAAGTGATCGTAGGCTCAGGAGGACTGCTTTTCCTCCTGTACAGTGACAAAAGCATTCCCATCATAATTTCATATTAAAATGATCAGAGGTCCCTTCAGATCCCTAAGTGCGCTTTATAAATACTTGTTAGGTCCTGTTGTGTGTTGCAAAAGAATCTGGAAGTCCGCCAGACAAGCACTCTGCACTATGCACTTTCCATTAGTTGACTAGTGTTGAGTCTTATTTCCTTACCTACTCTCTGACCTTTAAAAAAATCATCTTGTAGGGCCTCCCCAGTGGCTCAGCGGGTTGAGCGCAGCTCTGTGAAGCTGTCCACAGCCTCTGCAGTGTGGGTTTGATTCCCTGCCGGCCAGGGAGATTCCCACACGGCGCTGCAGACAGCTCCTGTCTCGCCTGCTGCTCCCCTCAGCCGTGTTTTCGGTCTGTCTGCCTGTTCAGCTCCCCACTCTATCTCTGGTGAATCCTCTCACCCTCCCATGCCTCTGGCCTTTACCCCAG